ACAAAACTAAGATATTACGACCGTTCGCGAAATACAAAGCAAAAACGTTTCACCAATTCTTGACGTTACGTTATAATTTCAAAATACAAATCGATTATTGGGATATTTCAGGCTTTTCTTGGCACTAAAAAATGCAGCTGGATTTATATTTTCCAACGCTACCTTTAGTTTTTTTTTATTCGAGGGACTTTTTGTGATGGAGTGCTTCAAACATTTGACATTTTAGTGCACAAAAAGCGTTCGCGATATTGATGGATTACCTTAGGGCGGATCTGGATGCCACGAAAAATGGCATAAAATGGCCGTTTTCCCAAGAAAAGTTGGCAAAATCGAAATATTCCATTTTTCGCGATTTTGTACGTCTGGATGCCACCAAATTTCATTACTTTATGCCACAATTTTCTTGAGAATCGAGTGTTTTATGGCATAAAAAAATGGACCGAGAATATAATTTTTCCAAAATTCAGCTGGTATCCAGACAACTTTGGAGATACTTCTTTTCTCCTTTTTTTCATGGGATATGGGACTTTGGGAAAAATTTGAAGACTTGCCAAAACGGTTTATGGCATAATTTTATGAGGTGGCATCCAGACCGCCCTTAGCATAGTGACATAGAATCATTGTTTATACTACTTCGAGTACAGTGCTATACTAAGGGCCAGTTCCGGGTAGATTTGTTTTGGCAAATCAAAAACGAAAGAAATTTGGTCCCAAGTACTGTGTCCAATTTTTGAAGTCATTTTCTGCGATTTTTAACAATTTTGACTTACACGAATTCGACGTTTTCATTGGTCAATGACCATATCATCGATTTTTATCGCGGCAAGTTTGTCATGATTTGATTGGATGATTGGTTTTCGCGATCAAAGCCGTCAGCGCATCATGAGGTGGTCATTTCTGCATTTCAAAAATACACAGAGCTCTCATGGCCAAGCTACGCGGACCGAACATAGCTCCAACCAAGAAAGACCTACTGGAGCGCGTGAGACAGCTGGAAGCAAACCTTGAAGGGGAGGCTGGTCCGTCCGTGCCCAACGTGAAATGGACCGACGCAATGGTCAAGTGCCTCCTTGCGTCGATATCGGACTTCAAAACAGTAAATGCGGCTCTCTTGAAGAGTATTGACGCTGGAAATGCAATTCCTCTCGCGCTGTTGAAGCATCTTAAGAACGAATAACAATAATTGATGCATTCACGTAAATTTATTTGTTAACTACATATACATATTCATTCACGCAAAGTGAATAGGTAACTACATATTGTAGCACTGTACATAACGTCAACACCAACTTAGTGTAAAAGTTATGTAGGGCGAGTTAATTGTGTGTTAACGTCATTAACTGAACATGCGCCACAGGTAGTTTTTTACGGTATTTCGTGCATACCATGCTGACTCTCCATCGACAAGGTTCATGGCTTCAATCGGGATCAGATCGCCTCCGATATGCATCCACTCCTCGCGAGCGTCGTTGTCATCACCTTGCTCGCTAATGTCGATGAACCAGTTGTGTAATATCATCGTAGTCTCGATCAACAGTGCCATTTCTAGGCATCATTCGTTGAGTCTCACATATTGTGGTTGGTATAATATACCTTGGGGTGTATGTTGAGTTAACAGTAAAATCCTAAATTTGTTTTTTCACAAACAAATGCTCGCTCGACCCAAATGCGACTCCGGCTCGTTGTAGTGTGCTTCGTCATCCGGCATTCCATAGGAGATCTTGAAGGGAGTGAGTACATGCTTCATTAGCTTGAAATACATTCCATCTGGGATCAACTACACGTCATTTTTTAAGTCATACTAGTATCATTTATTTGTCTCATTATAGTTGAATTTTGTACATAAGTCGAAATACGTAGGAATCGTATGAAGAAAATGAACAAATAGTAGGAATAATCTCTCTACAACTTCGATTTTGTCAGATCAAATGTGGTCATCCGGAATTCTTTATCTTGGTTTCACTATCGAGTTCGGCGGAAAACAACCGGACGCATTTTTCAGGCTCTTTGATGAACACGTAGGAAGGATTTTACTACGATGTGGATAGCCAATCAAATAGCTGAAAAACAGAAAAAAGGCGGCCAATAGGACGCAGTTGATGGGAGGCTCCCATTCATCAACATGAGTACCAACAGCGATTTCACCATCGAAGGAGCGCGACGCAGTCGCATCTTAGATAGCACGCGCCTCGGATACTTGCCCGGCATTAAGCAGGTAGTCAACTGGGCTGTCATGACAGGGAAGCTAGAGCTCCTGATGCCAAGCACCTAGCATGAGGTCGCATGACCTTAGATCTGCGTGTGTTTGCATACGATAAATTTTTGGAGTTCATTGTCTGGACTGTTCGGGAGTGAGATAATCGCCTGGGCACCCTAAGCGGCTACCGCAGTGCAGTCAAGAGCTTGTACATCGATCAAGGTATTGCTCTCCGTGAGCCATACGATGGGGACATGAAGGACATTTTTTCGGGTACAGAATTTTATATTTTTCGCAAAAAGTAATATAGGTTTAGGAATTCGAAGGCCCGTCGCCCAGAACCTTCAAAATGGGTCCAAGGAATCCACTGGCAAGCGTCCAATGTCGTCTTCGGTGTTTGAGCATCTCTGCGCGGCGAGCATGGGCCTGCCCGATTGCGGATTTACGCATCTCTACCTAGTTCTCTCGTGGAACTTGATGTGCCGTACCAAATCCACGGAGACGATACGGTATAAAAATATTAGTCCATTCAAAACATTCACATATCGTAATGAATGATCCGGTAGATTCGAGCACATGTCGTGCGAGGACGATGCCATTGGGTTCGTCTTTCATAAACCCAAGACGAGCCAAGAAGGTAAAATACTTATTTTAGTTTTGATGGGTTGCCGTGGAATCATTTCGTTAAATTATTTGTAGGAACAAAAAACAAGGACCCAAAACATTGCTTTGCGAACCCCTTAAAACCGCAAATGTGCTTGTTTTTAGCATTGGGAATATATTTGGCGTGCAATACACAAATCTTGCGAAACAGTCTTTTTTCTGGAGCAAAACAAAAGGTATATATTTTGCATGCAAAGTACAAATAAAAAAATTAAAAATATGGTAGGATCGCTTTGACAAAAGCCTTGGGCGATTGCTGTCCTCCTTGCAGCGATTGGCTGCTGGGAGCGACAAAAAAGCGAACGATATTGGTACGCATTCGATCCGAAAAGGCTCGGCAACATTTGTGTCGTCGGACAGCACCGGTGGCCCGTCCATTGTCAGTGTATGTTTGCGGTGCGGTGTGGTTGGTCCTTGGGCAATGTTATGGAGCGTTATTTTCGGTACGAAGCCGCTGGCGATCAATTTACTGGTCGTGTTGTTTGCGGGCTCCCAATAAATAGTGCTAACTTGTCTCAACTGCCGGCCCCCATTTCTCCAACTTGGTGTGTCCCGTGGTCAACAATGCCTTGGCAATGGTTTTTCCAAGCCTAATTGACCAAAGTCAACTGCATGGTGTGCTGCGCCTCTTATTGGCCAGTCTCGTGCATCACCACGTTTTTTGGTTGGCCAGCTCCTGCCCAATCACCCTCTGTTGTCTACGCCGTTATTTGCTAGCAATGATGTGGTGTCGGCCCTGCGACCTTTGGTATTTTCTGGGACCGAGTCCACGTTTTTGTTTGCCTCAGGCATCCCCCCCACGTGGAGTTACTACGGCAACTGGATCGAAATGAAAAATCGATTTAAAGTATTCCTGCTGTCGTATTAAATGGTGTTCGCCAGATCGTGGCTGAAAGGGGTCTTGCTGCTGGTAACATCACGCAGGCGTTCTTAGAATGCACCCTCTCCCAAGCTGTCGCAACAGTGGTACAACAAGTACTATGCGGTGCAGAAGAAAGGTTGGATGGACAGTCGTGTGTGACGTTTGCAGCTGCGCGTCGCCGGGCATGACAATGTGCGGGGGCGAGTCCGCGGTGGGTTGGAACATCAAAAGCCCATCGGCTAGGGCGAAGCGATGCAAGCATGACGAAGCGCGGCGTGGTTTCGGGGAAACGGGGTCGGTGAGTGCCGCCAGGCGCGACGAGCAATCAGCGTCAAAGGGGTACGCCGCGCGGTTTTTATCGTGAAGACCGGACATCAAAAGATCGATCGTGGTCAGTTCGAGATCAGGACGCCGAGGCAGGGCGTCGGCACGATGTTGTCCTTCCCGGGCTTGTACTGAACCGAAGATGTGAATTCGGAGAAGAACGAAATCCAGCGCGCCATGCGCTGCGAAAGGTGCGGTGTGTTCGTCGCCGTGCGTAAGGACGCATGATCGGTGTAAACCACGAAGGATTTACCTCCGAGGAGGTGAACTTGGTGAGGTTGTACATCATGGAGAGAAGTTCCAAATCGTGAACCGGGTACGCCCGCTCAGCCGGATGGCGTTGACGGCTTTGGTAGGAGTCTTGGCGAGGGCGACCGGAGGCGTCGAGCTGCATAAGGCAGCAACCAATGGCAAACTGCGAAGCGTCGCAGACGACGGAAAAAGGTTTGTCGAAGTCCGGGAGCGCCAAGATCGGGGCGCGTTGAAGGTTGGTTTTGAGGCCTTCGAAGGCCGACTGACAAGCGGAATCCCAGACCCAAGGGGCATCCTTGAGGAGAAGCCGAAACAACGGCTAGGCGATGTTCGCAAAGTTGGGCGAGTATTTGTGGAGGTACGTCGCAAGGCCCAGCCAGCGACGAAGATCCTTGTCGATGGAGGGAATAGGCCACTCCGAAATGGTCTTTATCTATATATCTTTTCGGGATCAGCCCGACATCCGTTCACCCCCACCAAATCTCGCAGGAGTGGGATTTCGTCGACACCAAATATGCATTTGGCGAGGTTGGCATAGAGTCCGTTGGCACGGAGGACTTCAAACACCTGGGTGCCCACGGTGAACGTCAAGAACGGACTGCGCTGGTGAAGCGCAGCTGTGGACGTAAATGTCGTCAAAGTTCGACGGGGCGAAGCCGCAAAACGCGCGGAACTTCGCGATGACCATGTTGAACGTCGCCGGGGCGTTGGAGAGACCCTGTGACATGACTAGCCACTCCCATAACATGCCACTCGGCGTAGAAACTGCCGTTTTAGGGACGTCACACAGACGCATCAGGATTTGGTAAAAGCCATCGCGCTGGTCGATGGCTGAGAAAATGGTAGATCGACCCATGCCGTCGATAATAACGTCTTTGCGAGGAATCGGCGTCTGTGCCGGAATCGTGGACGCGTTCAATTTGTTAACTGTCAAAACAATAAAAAATGTATGAATACTGTTTGAGAAACAGTTCTAAATGATTTAACAGTAATGCCGTGTACAATACGCCATTTCCCACCGGGCTTCTTCACACAGAAGATCGGGCTGCTGTGAGGGGAAATGCTCTCGCGGACGTGACTCGCCGATGAATGCGTCGATGGCGTCGACTTGGTCGCGAGGTAGCGGCCATTGCCGCGTGACGCAATATTTCGCGCCGGGCACGAGGTCAATCTCGTGTTGAACGCCCTTTTCCAAGGGGAGTCGGCAGGGCACCTCGTCAGGGAAGACGTCCTCAAACTCATTGAGGAGGTCGTAATGGGGTTGGACCGCAGGGAGTCCCACGTCTGGGACTTCAAAGGAGCGGTAAGGACCGAATCATCTGCGGTCGAGGTCGAAAAGAGATCCATCTCTTCCTCGACAGTGATCACCGCCAACTCGGCGATATCGTGGGCGCGGAGAGATTCCACAAGCGAGTGGAAGCTCATCTCTGGCAGTGCCAGGATCTCGAAAGACGTCCGAGGGAGTTCGTTAAAGTTACACGTTTTTCGATAAACGTGGCCGCCAAGGTCGAGGTAGCAATCCGGGGCGAAGACAACAGAGGGCGACTATGTTGGGGAACGAAAGGGGGGTTCTGCAGCACCGTGGCTCGGTCCGTTGGGGCCGCGTGAGCTAGGAGGGGCGAGATCATTACTCATCGCGTCTAACGGAGGACCAAGCGGGTTGGTGGTGGACGGGGGGAGGCGATCGGCAGCCCGCCAATGAATCCAGGGTTGGCTCGCAAAAAAGCCAAGTAACCTTGTGCACGGATTTTGCCTTCCAATCAATCCAAGGCTGGTGGGACTCCAGCCAGGACATCCCGATGATGAGATCCCATCTCTTGTCGAGGTCGATAACATAGAACGGTTCAACCGAGTCGAAACCGTCGAAGGTGATGGTGACGTCGACGATGATGCGTGGTTGAGACGCAGTGTGGCCGTCGGCCATCCTGACGCGAACCCTGTCGGAAGGTTCCGAAGGGGGTAAGCGGTTGAGGCGAGTGAGAGTGGAGCGGCTGGCGTAGTTGTTCGACGCCCCACAATCGATTAAAGCAGAGAGCCTGGTCGGAAAGCCAGGTACGACAAGTTCCAAACGAATCATTTTGTTGGGTTGGAGCCCAACACGACACAGAAGAAGGTGTGTGTCCGAGGCTAGGTCCTGAGAGTGTGTCAGCGCGCCACACACCTTCAAAGGACCTAGGGTGTCCCCAGTAGGTCGCCTCGCGCCTACTGGGAGCGACCGTTTCCCGCCGCACTCTAGCCTGGAGCGGGTCGGAAAGGCGGGCGCGAGGCGCCATGGCGTTCGCGATTGAAGTGGTTAGGTGGACCGCTCGGAGGACGACGCGAGTGGGTATCTGGCGCGGCACGGGAGGAACCGTGTGCACTAGGCGCTGCTGCCGCCACACGGCGAGGTGCCAGACATGCACGGGAAAAGTGTCCAGGGCGACCGCAATTGAAACACGTGCGGTCGTTCGATGCCTGGGTGAGGATGGAGACATGATTCCGAAAGCGCTATTCGGATGGCTTCTTCGAAGATGTCCAGGAAGGCGCGAAAAAGCTGGGTGCGCGCCGGGCCTTGTTTGAGACCGTCCATGAAAAAGGTAACACGCAGGGACTCCGGGAGTGATTCTTCATCGTTAATATTCGCTGCCAAGAAGCGAAGGTCATGGATGAACTCTTGGAGGGAACGTTTTCCTTGCTTGCATGCCAGATACTGCGAGCGATAACGAAAATCGCTGTTTGGCGGCAGGAACATTGCCTTTAGTTCGGTCTCAAAGACCGCGAAGGACGAGAAGCAATGGCGGTCCGTCAAAAGTTTGGAGAACGCCCAATCTTCCGCACGACCCTTCAAGTACGATATCGCGAAAGCCACGCGGGTGGTGTCGTCGGGGATACGCTGGGCGTCAGCAGCAGTGCTGAATTGTAAAGCCAGCGGAGGAGTTTGGCGGACTCCGCTCCGCCGAATTTGGCAACATCCAGCTTGATCGACTTCAGACGAGAAGCCGATGGGGTACAGTACCCGACTCTAAAGCGCGCGTGAGGCGCGCAATCTCATCGTGAGCCATGCGCAGAGAATCTTGGAGGGTGCGACCATGTGTCGTCATGTGGAAGCTTGCTCGTATAAGGTCGCGATTTTTTCACGAGCGACGCGGAGAGAATCTTCAAGGTTTCGCCCGTGCGAAGACATTTGAGTGACTTGTTCTTCCAAAGTCTTCTGGGCGGCCGTAGCTTCGGCGCCCGAGAGTGCGATCGTGCTATCGACGTCTTCCACAAGGCGTGTTTGGTTATCGGGAGTCATCCCGCCAAGGAGTAGCGCGGTATCGTTGTCGCCAAAACCGCGACGCAAAAGAGCGAGGACCGCCTGGTGCACTGCGGTGTTGGTGGAGGAAATAGTGTTGGTCGACTGGCCGAACGTGGAGTGCTACCGAGTGTGAGCGTGTGCAGAGGAATGCACAGGAGATGGTAGAATCAAGAATGAATTGATAGCGCTTAGACTACTACGCTATTACTAAGCTACGCGCAACCAACCATTGATGTATCGTTGGGAGAACACCTTGGTTACGCAAGAGGACATGTTGGTAAGCGAAAGGACACCTTGGACTGAAGAGGTGTGGACTAGTCATCCGGTTCTCAACTGGATGATAGGCACGGTTACAAATATGGTGTCGTCATTTCGACCCCACTAACGTGCACATCGTTGCCGCATCAATGTCATTTGAGTTACTTCTCACAAGCTAGATATTGTGTACTTCTAATGTGACAATTATACAAGTGTACTGTACTAGATTTCAATACGTACTTATATAGTATAACTACTCAAGGCATGGGTGGGTATTTGCTTTCTTAACGTATTAGAGAACGACGGAATGGTACGCCAATCGAAGTTTGTGAAACAGCTGCCATATTTTGTCCAATAGAAGTCGAGATTGAGAATCCTAACATTTGATTGGCAAGCAATAATATTTTCCCGCCTGCACTTCTTTTTGAATTTCCCCCGTACCTCAGGTCTTCATTTGATATGCAGTCAACAATGCGCATTCCAAAGCGCAACTACACCATCGCAACGAAGCTGAAGGTGCTAGGGCTTTTGGAAACAAGCACCGACCAACAAGTGTCTGACATGCTAAGCATTCCACGTCGCACCATCCGTACGTGGGTCAACCAAAAACGCGACATCCTTGCTTACAACGGGAACAAAAAACGAATCAAAGTCGATCCAGGTGGGCGTCCTGAAGAATTTCCCGATACCGAGGGTCTCGTTGACTATATTAACCAAATGCGAGCCCAAGTACGGGCGCTAACAACGTCGCATATCATCAACTGGATCAAGAGGCACCAGGCGGCTTGGCTGCGGTCCTACATCGCACGCAAGAAGCCCAGCACCGGGTACCAAGGGCTCCTACGACTGCTGCAGCGCTTTTATCACCGTCATGGATTTACGCGTCAACGACCCGGCAAACAGAAGCACAAACAATCCGTCCTGATCGAAGTGCCTGATGATTTCGCTGCTGAGTTCCAGCGGCAGTACCACGGCTTTAGTCCCGATTGCGTCTACAATGTGGATGAGACCGGGTTCTACTATGACATGCCGCCCGAGTACATCTGGGCTGCTCGCGGTGGCAACGCGAAGATATCAACTGGCGAGAAACACTCCATGCGTATGACTGCTGTACTCACCGTCCGCTCGAATGGAGAAAAGCTCCTGATCCTTTTTATAATCCGCGGCACCCCCGGCGGTCGCATCGAAACCTCGGAGCTGCCAACGTACCTAAGCGGCCATTTCTATGCTGTTCAGGGTAAGGCATGGATGGATAACACCATGT